AGTTTGTAGATCTAAGACAGCTGCTCCTGAGATCTGCCCTCACCAGCTTCTGGACACTGGGAAACTCCTGACTAGCTAGACAAAGCTAAAGTATCATTATTATCATTCCTCAATGACCTAGCATTTATACTCTTTGCCATAAGTTGCCATTTGTTTTTATATAAATGTATTGGAAATAATCTATCAAAGCAGTAATGGCTGTTTCTATTTGTTGAAGTAGTTTTCTGTTAACCTTTATTTCTGGCTTCTTGTCCTTGGACCAAATGAAACCCAAAGAAATGTTTACCACCCTCATTATTGCCATCAAAATAGCTACCCAAAACCTAAAGCTTCAGTGCAGCAGAATAGAGATTTGAGAAATAGACCCATGCATGTATGGTCAATTGGTAATAGACAAAGATACAAAAGCAATTAAATGCAGAAAGCATAGTCTTTTCAACAAATTGTGCTGGAGCAATGGAAAATCCATGTGAAAAACAAAAACTTCAATCTATACTTCATATCACATGTATAACTTTACACAAAATGGATTATGGGCCTAAACATAAGAGTGTAGAACAGCTGAAGAAAAAAAACTGGAGAAGAATGCTTGTGACCCTCTGTTAGGCAAAGATTTCTTAGATGTGATGCTAATAAATGGATGCATTTCACTTAGTAGATAGTTAATTCAAACTCTTTAAAATGAACTCTTTGCTTAATAATTACAGTGTGTTCTAGAGAGGTTCTTTTGGTTACAGAAACAAAGATTGACTAAGGCCAGCAAATTTGATATTCTGATCTAGCTTCCTCCTGCATTCTTCTCAGGGCAAAACTGAAGTGATATGAAGGGAAGTCATTCATGGAGGCTGGGTAGCCTGCTTCTCAGTTCTTTACCACATCTCTTCTACCACTATACCTTTGGTTCATCCATCCATTCATCATTGGTGTCATGACCTTGACTGTATCTCTTGGCTTCTTCCTTTTAATAAAACTTTGATTTCTACTGCTGCCTAATTATTTTGACATTTTGCAAGTTCATCTCCCATAGAGGGAACCTGATTGACCCAGATTATGTTTATATATTTTTGACCACTAAATAGGAGTGTTCAGTCAGCAATAAGGTCCAGTCATCAGTGGCTTGCAGTAGGATTGTGGAGACTGACTATAGGGTGTTGACTGGCAGGAGTCCAAGGGAAAAAGTAGGTATAGAATGTTGGTATATCAAATGTGATCTGTACTTTCAACTGGTACCATGAACAATTGAGTTTTCTTTAGACAGGACCATGGGTGTGACAAATACTGTTGTGTAGATGTAGTTACTGTGTTGTTGTACAGTAAATTACTGATGTTCTTACTTTCTTCTCCCAGAAACCATTGACTATCAATATGTCTTCCAATTTTGACTCTCTTATAGTATAGCCTGCTTCTAAATCAATCCATGGCAGTTAGTGAGATGAATATATAAAGAAGGAAAACAGAGGATAAGAATCTTGGATTAGTTTAAAGTTGCTATCAGAGATCTTTTAATATATCCCCCTGCATCTGGGTATATACACCCATATCATATCTTTCAAAGAGACAATTAGTCTATCCTTCTGTACTTAGTCTAATCCTGGGTCAGCAGCTCCCATGGTATTTAATCCATTTTTTTTTTCCTGATAGGCTTCATAGTATCAATCCTATAATGGTCATCCTGATTTTTTTTTAAATTTATTTATTTTAATTGGAGGCTAATTACTTTACAATATTGTAGTGGTTTTGCCATACATGACATGAATCAGCCATGGGTGTACATATGTTCCCCATCCTGAACCCTCCTCCCACCTCCCTCCCCATCCCATCCCTCTGGGTCATCCCAGTGCACCAGCCCTGATTACCCTGTCTCATGCATTGAACCTGGACTAGCAATCTGTTTCACATATGATAATATACATGTTTCAATGCTATTCTCTCAAATCATCCCACCCGTGCCTTCTCCCACAGAGTCCAAAAGACTGTTCTTTACATCTGTGTCTCTTTTGCTGTTTTGCATATAGGGTTATCGTTACCATCTTTCTAAATTCCATATATATCTGTTAGTATACTGTATTGGTGTTTTTCTTTCTGGCTTACTTCACTCTGTATAATAGGCTCCAGTTTCATCCACCTCATTAGAACTGATTCAAATGTATTCTTTTTAATGGCTGAGTAATATTCCATTGTGTGTATGTACCACAACTTTCTTATCCATTCATTAGCTGATGGACATCTAGGCTGCTTCCATGTCCTGGCTATTATAAACAGTGCTGTGATGAACATTGGGGTACACGTGTCTCTTTCAATTCTGGTTTCCTCAGTGTGTATGCCCAGCTGTGGGATTGCTGGGTCATATGGCAGTTCTAGTTCCAGTTTTTTAAGGAATCTCCACACTGTTCTCCATAGTGTCTGTACTAGTTTGCATTCCCACCAACAGTGTAAGAGGGTTCCCTTTTCTCCACACCCTCTCCAGCATTTATTGCTTGTAGACTTTTGGATAGCAGCCATCCTGACTGGCGT